TGCTAGTACAGATCATACCATCACCTCTTTTAAAACAAGACAGGCAGTATTACAACATGACATTCAGGACCTGTGGAAAGAAGAAAAGGCACAGATGATGGTTACCAAGTGTTTTAAGATCCATGCAAGCAAAATAGATTCTCCTGCACAAATGCGATAGTCATGGCAACAACTCCTCAGCTCTCGTGGATCAGGAATATGTAGTCAACTTTAAACATAATCCCACATATTCAACTTGTGCTTCTGTATTGCTTATTTAGCAGTAGAGCCATAATTCTTTTAACTGCTTTACCTTCACTCACTAAGAGCGGGATATAGAACAATAGGTTGAACACAAGCCCTTAGGATGCAAATGCAAGTAAACAGGACAGGCCACAGTAGTGTAATAGTGGGGTCTTTGCCAGACTTGTTTCCATACAGAATACTACTTTAACACCCCCCCCGCCAACATTTCAGTTTCTAGCTTTAATTACACACTAGTCATCTGAGTTTCTGAATACGTTGTTGTACAGCACATTATACTAGCACTGGAATGTGCTTAATTCAAAAGTAGAACAAGAGTCAATACAGACTATGAGCCTATGACAAACAAAAAAGTCTAATTTTTTTAAATCTGTACCGCCATAACTCCCAGGCAGACACACTTGTTAGGTAGTCATCAGTCAAGTTCTTTATGTACCAGTTTGCCAGTTTTCTGCATTTTCTTTAGAAACCAAAAAAACCCTTCCAGAGTAATTTTAAAAAATGGTTATATTAAATTTACATCCATTTTAACATGAGTTCTAAAGGCACCTAAAAATAACTGCTATTTAACAACTGCAAATATGATAAACACTGAATGTCTGCGCACTTTGAGATGTCCATTTTTTAACTTGGCAGCATATATTTTGTAGAATGCAGAATGTAGCTCTCTGGTTCCATCATAGTGGCTAGTACATCTAATTTATGTATATTTCTGGGTCAGTTACAGTAGAAGCCTCTTTATGGGATGTGATCCTGTTCTATTTCTCTTGGCTGTCAGTGGCAGCCGTTAGTACTATACTGCTTCCAGTAGTAATTGCAATGTGCAAGGAACTGTACAGTCTTAAAGGGAGGCAGACCTTACAGTATAAAGACAAAAGACAGGGGTAGGGAGAAGTAGTACGTCAGGACAGAAAAGTGGCCTCTCTCATGTAGGCTAATGTGTGTGTGTATAAAAAAAAAAAGTTTCTCTCATCTGATACGAATAAAAGTAAATTCTATTCCTTCTGTTCCACAATGATTGTCTAAGCATCTGTCTTTGCATGTGTCTTCTACCATAACAACAGCTAGTTCCTCTCTTTCATTTTTTCTGTCTTCCATATTGCTTGCTGTTGTCTATATTTAGACTCCTGGAAAAGTTTCTCTACTTGTTTAGCAAAGCCAGGACTGTCTTCTTCCAGTGCATTAATGGTCTGCAGGACCAAAGGAGTCTTCTCCCTTGGAAGTGGATTATTCAGTGGCCTTACTGGTATGACAGAGTTGTATTTATGCCGTTTGTTAAGAGCATTGATCAGGGAAGTATAAGACTGAAACTCAACCCAAGCCTCACTTAGGAAGTTTTCTGTCAACAATATAATAGTCCATGCTGACCGATTCACAGCATCATTTAAGTTTTCTAAGACATGTCTCCCACAAGGCATTTCTGCAAAGATTATTCCAGGTTTAACACAAAATTTATTTTGTAGCAGGTGCTGGACTCGGATGGCTTCATCTATATCATTCTCAGCATGCAGAATCACAAACTTGTAAAAAACATCCTCAGGATCTTCATCACTGTTGGGGATTTCTGAAGCAGTTGTGGAGGGCTCTTCTATTTCAACAGACAGGTCATACAATTCATAGTTTTGTTTCGAGTCTCTCTGACATGTATCCACATTGTTACCCTCGCAGGTGTTATTTGATGGGGGTGGAGGATTTTGTCTGGAGTTAGTGCTGCCCATTATGATAAATGGAAATGTCCGAAGAGGGTGCATTCATATGACTGGCATCTATTCTTCCCATTCTAAAAATAAAAAAATGGAAAAGCTGTTGAATCTTTATAACAACCTATACTTGTATAGGGGAAATAAGTACCAGAAAGATACTTGTCACAATCCTGTAATAATGTGAACTGCTTGTCTAACTAAGGCAGGCTATAATTCATCCTAATGAAAGAAAAGCAGAAATGCTGAAAAGGACCTTGCAGCAATAGTGGGCATTAAATTACATGTGGACTACCACGGCAGGCAAGAAAACAAGCAATTCTAAGCTAAAGACTCAGCCACCATGTAAGATACCAGTAACTAACAATTTTAAGGCCCTCTGGCAAAATTACACTTAAAATATCCTGTATGCAAGTACCTCATATTCTAATTTGCTGACCTCTTTCTGATTGTATCAGAGAAAAATCAGAGCCTAGGTCTAACATACTATATAAAATACCTACATTACATAGGAAGCTTTCCCCAAACTGAGACATGTGTGCACAAAATGCTGCAGGAAAGTGCATAACTTATACACAAGGACTAATTAGAGAGCCACTTGATGACCTCCCAGATTTAATGAATTCCAAACAATATTTCAGAGTTCTGATTTTTTGGACCTCTGTAACACAAATACATATTTCAGGTCCAATTCCATTTCTACTGAAGTCAATGTAAAGATTGTAATCTGGAAGGCTGTAGTAAGAGCTGGAAGGGACCTCATAAGGTCATCTAGTTCAGCCCTCTGCTCAAGGCAGGATCAGCCCTGACTAAGCCATCCCAGTCAAGTGGCTGTCTAATCTTCTACTGAAAATTTCCAGGGATGGAGATTCCACATCTAGGGTGGGGCGTCTACATGTGCCTATTAATGTGCAGCAATTAATAGCTTGCCCTAGAGCTTATTTCTCCCAGGTGTGCATCTGTATGTGTCCCCAGGATTGCAGCACATAGAGCCAGGGCAGAGCAGCCCTGCCTGGCAGGGGACCCCAGGCATCAGCCTGCCAGCCTTGGGATGCTCCCCCTGGTTCAGCGTGCTGTAGAGGGGCTGGCTGGGGCTAGCCGGCATGCAGGGCTAGCTGGCATGCAGCCCCGGCACTGGAGCATCCTTGCCCCAGCCAGCCCCTCTAGCGTCTACAAATGTATTGCTGTGAAGTGTTTTATTCTGCAGCAGCATAGTCCTTGTAAATACACGTAATATCCTTGTACTGCAAATGCAAGTACTACCCTGCTGTGGAGTAAATTAGTTTACTGTAGTCTAAATCAGGGTGCATGTGTAGACACCGAGACGATTACATCACAGCTAATTAGTCTACTGCGCAGTAAACATCTTGTGTAGATGCGTCCTAGGTAGTCTGTTCCACTACTTGACCATCCTCAAACTGGAAAGTTCCTCCTAATCTCTAAATTAAACGTCCTTTGCTGCAGTTAGAGGTCCCCAGTCCTGTCCCCTACAGAGAAAAATGTATATCCATCCTCTTTATAATTGCCCTTTAGATATTTGAAGACTATTAGCAAATCCCCCTCAGTCGTCTTTTTCTTCAACCTAAATAACCTTAGTTTTTAAAGTCTTTCCTCAAAAGGCATGCTTCCCAGGCTTCTAATCATTTCTGTCATTCTCTGCTGAACTCTTTCCAATCTGTTCACATCTTTCCTGAAGTGTGGGGCCCACAACTGAATGGAGCAAAATTGCTGTACTCCAGTTTACCAGTTCCAAACAGAGTAGAATCAGTTCCCTTAACTTGCAAGAGATCTTATGACTCTCTGTAACCCCAAGTCCTTTGTAGCAGTATATCAGCCTAGGGCAGAGACAAGTGGGGTCTGCCAACCATGTCCTAGTCTGTATTTGTAAAAACAATTATTCTGTCCTAAGTGCAGGACTTTGCACTTGTGCTTGTTGAATTTCATCTGATTGACTGTGGACCATTTATCTAGTTTATCCAAGTCATTCTTGATCCTAGCCCTACCCTCAATTATCTGCAACTCTACCCAGCTTGGTGTTGTCCGTAAATTTGCTAAGCATGCATTCAATCCCATTGTCCACATCATGAATGATGTTATTGTGGCAGTGTGTTTTAAGGGGACCAGCAGCCTGCAAGTGGTGGGGGGTGCTAAAGAGGGCCCCACTTGACAGGGAAAGGGCTGGGCTTACCTGGGGTGATAAGCCCAGCCCCTGCACAGGAGCAGGCAATAGGATTTTAGAGGCTACAAAAAGGTAGGCTTAGCTAGGAGATAAGCCCAGACCTGATTGGACCAAGACGTAAGTTCTTGGAGGCTGCTGAGAGGGAACATCATTGGGCAGACAGGCTGTAGCTGAGGCAGGCTGCAGGTGGGGCAGGAGGCAATCGGGGCCCTATGACCAGGGAAGGGGCTGGCCTTAAACAGGTATAAGCCCAGGCCCCTGAGTTGAGCCAGCAGTAGGCCAGGGAGGTTGTGGAGGGAACATCTCCTCAGCAAGATGGCTCCAGCTCTTGACTGCCAGTGTGGAGAGTTCAGCCTCTGGCAGTCTGGCCTTGAGTCACAAAGGCAGGAGCTCCAGGCAGCAGCTGAGCTCTTGAAATGCTGGGGTAACCAACCCTACCAGCCTAGGGAACAGGGGAGTAGTAGCTGGGCGGAGACAGAGTTATGCATGCAGGCAAGTGACTGTGGGTTTAAGACCGGACCCAGAGAGGGCTTCACCACCAGGAAGGACCACCGCTGGAGATAGACCCCAAGTGGGGCAAGTCAGGCCAGGGCAGCCCAAGGTCTCAACTGGCCAGAGGTGGGGCCAGGAGGGACTGTAGCTGAACATGCTAGTCCTAGAGGAGTGTGTGAGAGCTGGGCCAGGGGGTCTGGAGGCTTGTAGCCCAGTGGGGAGAGGGCGGGGGCAGGAAGCCCATAGCCCGGAGGGTTGAGTGTGAGCCTAAAGAGATCAGAGGCTAAGAATGAGACCAGTGGGCTTGGGAGCCCAGAAGGGAGGTGTGACATCAGTGGGAGAGAAAGGTCAAAGCATCCGTAACCCAAGAGAGGCAAGGATACCCAGGGCAGATAACCGAGGAGATGGTCCTAGGCAAAACAGAAAATTGCACCCTACTGGGGTTCAGGGTCACAGTGGTAGGGCTGCTTTTGGTGGGGCAGTCCCTGTAAAGTGCCACTGGTGACAAACCCCAGGGAAAGATGAGTATGGGGTGTCTAAAAACCCCAGTTCCCGCTGCCTTGTGAGTTACCCAGTGGAAGGGGAAATGCTAAAGGAGCACACCCTGACAGAAAAGCAATTGGAGATTCACAGAGAAAGAAAGGGATCAGAGGCTGCACAAGTCCAGAGTCTAGAAAGGGACTGAGAGTGGGCTCAGAAGATCCAAGGTCCTAGAGAGAGAGAAGGGGCCCAGAGGATCTACAAGCCCAGGGCCCAGAAAAGGGCTAGGAGTGTGATCAGAGGATCCAAGGGCATGCAGAGAGAAAGAAAGGGATCGAAGGACCCATGAGCCCAGAGTCCAGAAAGGAAGTGGGAGTGGGGTCAGAGGATCCAAGGGCCAAAGAGCAGGTCCCAGCCAAAGGGTCGTGTGAGCATGGGAGGCCAGAGACTTGTAGCCCAAAGGGGGCATGAGGCAGAATCAGTGACTTGTAGCCCAAGAGGACATACAGGGTCAAGGGGCAAAGAACCTAGAGAAAAGCAGAATGGTATCAAAGGGTCCAAAGACCTAGAAAGTGGACAAACATGAGACCAAGGGGTCTGAGAGCCCAGAGAAGGGGCAAAGAGAGTGTAAAGAGAGAAGATCAAAGAAGGATGCCACCTGAGAGGCATGGGGCATGGTGTAGGGATGAATGGAGCCATGAAATTAGCCCTTAAGGTAAGGACCACAGACACCTGGTAGTCATTAGCAGGAAATCATGTCTGGAAAGCCCTGGGGCAGACTCCCTTTTATAACTATAAAATACACCAAGGCATGGCAGGCCAATGAAGGGATGACTGTCCCCAGAGAGTGAGCAGGGTAGAAAAAGAATTGTTTTGGTTTCCAGGGGCTTATAGCCACCTCTGGAGAAGGTGCCCTGCTGTAGTTATACAATACAGGACCCAGGACAGACCTCTGGGAAATATCACTTGATACTTTCTCCCAACGAAACACTAAGGCATGGATTGAGTATGATGATCCACCTTACAGTACTTTCATGTAGTCTGCATTTTCTTAGTTTGTTGTGGGAGATGGTGTTGAAAGCGTTGGTAAAGTCAAGGTACAGAATCATCCACAGAGCTTATGACCTTATATCATATCAAGTTGGTCAGACATGGGGAGTTGGTTCTTGGAGAATCTATGCTGCCTCTTTCTGATCTCCTTGTTTTCCAATAGGAGCTTCAATGTAAGACTCCTTGAGCATCTGCTTCATGATCTTTCCAAGTATCAAGATCAGATCTGTAATTTCTTGTATCCTCCTCCTATCCTTCCTTCAAGATTAACAATATATTTGCCCTTCTCCAATCATCCAGGGCCTCATCTGACCTTCACAAGTTCTGAAATAGGATAGCCAATTGGTCTGAAATTACCTCAGCCAATTCCTTCAGTACACTGTGGTGTATCCCATCTGGCCCTGCTGACTTGAAAGCAGCTAGCTTTTCTAAGTAATTCCAAATCTGTTCTTCCACTACTGTAGGCTGTTCCTCCTGGAACTATTTGCCACATCTACAGTCGAACGTATGGATCTCAAATCAACCTCCTCAGTCATCTGTGGAGTCCCCAGTGACTTTCCTATTTACCGAAAGACTGTCATCCTTGTATTGAAAGATTATTGCTAACAATGATGACAAATTCTTTGAGATCGATCCAGCAGAGCTAATATTTACTATTTAATTTTTAAAATCTGTCCCATCTAGAACTTACTTGAAATGACATAATGAAAGCAAAGGCAAACTGATCATAATTTTATAATCTAATGATGATGATAATAATAATCAGACCAAGTGAGTAAATGATAAATTGCATCACAATATCCATAACTGTTTTAGTTTAGGTATTACAGAAGGGGCTAAT